AACAGGGATTCCTCCTGACCCAGTACCCGCGGACCACCACCGACCCGTGTGTGTATCAGGCCCTTTACAGACCCACGCTCCCATTTCTTGGCGACACTTGCATTGAACCCGGACACGAGAGCGCCTTCGCCAACACCAGCACCCTTGAACAGATCAAAGGGGTCCTTGAATGCGTCCTGCTGCGGGAAGTAGTACGCAATCATGTTGATGATCTCCTTCAGGTTCGCTGCTTGCGCGTAGATGACCGCGTTGGGCCCGGCGTCGTACGTATAAGCGGCCTTGCGCTTCCCGCCGTTCTCGGGGAGGAGCGCGACGCGGTTGTACTCCTCCACCACGGCAATGATCGCGCGGCTCACGTCGTTCATGTAGAAGATCGGGGGCGCGGTGTCGAGCGCGACGGCGTGGAACTGGTTCGAGTCCGCCATAGTGATCTCCGCGAAGCGGTCAAAGTCGCGCGCGAGGATGGCGGCGGAGATATCGGTCATGCGCTGCGGGACGACGTGCTTTATGCGGTGTTGGAGGAGTGCTGAGGTCTCGACGGTGCGCTGCATGCCGCTCGTTGAGCTGGTGCCCTTTTTGGTGTCGCTGACGACGCAGATGAGGGCGTGGATGTCGGGCCAGTGGGTTTCCGGGGCGACTTGGACTGCGTGCGAGTCGAGGCCAGAGGGAAGGGTGCCGGCGTTCCACGCAACGAAACCGCCAAGGAGGGATCGGCAAGCTGAGCCGGAACCTTGGCGGGCGATGAGGGAGAGCGTTGTGGGAGGAGAGGGCAGGACGTAGAGCGCGGCCAAGGACGCGGTAAGAGCTGCGAATCCTGATGCGGAGGACGCTAGGCCGGCAGCGGTCGGGAAGTTGTTGTACGACGCGATGTGCACGGAGAACGTCGACAGCTAAAATGCAACGAAAATTTCAGCAATCTCCAGAATCCTACAGGGAAACGGCATACTGGAGGAGCGGACGCATCGACGTCTTCAACGAGTTCTTTCCGCATCCGCTTCATCTCGGAGATGCATGTAGCCATACGGCCCCCAGCCTTGATGTCCTCCTCGACGCCATTCAGCCAAAGACGATCTTTTTCAAAAGACGGATCTGCGCGCGATGTGGTTGTGGACCGCAGATGATCCTGGTCCAGAGTCACGGACAGCGATGAGTTGGTGGGCAGGATCAGCTTTGTGTCGCGTTTTCCCCAGTACCTAGATCATCGTGAATACGAGCATTTGAAGAGGGGAAACCGTTTTACTTGATGCAGGCGATGTTGACAGGTGCAGAGGTGGTTGCAATGAACGGCGCCATGGAGGGAGAGAGAGAAAGCGTACACAATCGTACGACATAATATATGTCTCACCCGGCACAAAAGATGTCACCGATAAAAAAACTTGAGCGAGGCGTCGCTTTGGGACGAGGTTTTCATGGTCTCTGGTACATCTTAGAGAACCGTAAAACGCGTCTGAACTGAATATTGAGGAGACTGGAAGAAACCTCTTGATGCGCAACCCGGCCCGCCAAGACTCCAGTCGCGCCACCCCCTATCCAGCTGCAACTCGAGGTTATTCGCGTGCTACGCATTCGTGTAAGCTTTGAATCTTCGAGGTCGACGCTGAGCTCAAGGCCCGCGGGGGGCAGTGAAAAAGCTGGGACGTGGACGATGTTCAACTTTGGTTCGGCATTCTTTCGGCCGAATCCGCTTGACTTGGCCTTCACACTCGCACAAGGCCGGTACTCGGGCATGCTCTCGCCATGCACGTCCCAGAGGAGCTCATCTGCCTGATACTCGCGCAAGTTTACCGCGAGAATCCGTTCTTTCCCCCGGATTACTCCACACTTTTGTCCTGCGCACTTGTCAATTCCCAGTGGCGAGGTCCCGCGCAGACGCTCTTGTTCCGGCGCGTAACACTCGAAGCAGCCTCAGCTTTTGGACAATTCGCAGACACGACAAAGAACCGCGCTTTGTTGACGCATGTCCGAACCCTGGCCATCGCCCTCGAGAGCCCGGTCACGACTTTGGTCTCGATTCTTGGGCACTGTCCCCAGCTCTACGAGCTCAGTATCAGTGCGCGGGGGCTCTTCTCGCTGGGTCCCCAGGGGATATCGAGAATCGCTGCCGTCGTCCGGGACGCGTCCATATCTGTCCGCTCGCTGCACTTGATCGATGCCAGCGTACAATCGCCAGTTCTGTACGAGCTCCTCGATCTCTTCCCTACTGTGGAGTTTTTGTTCCTCGGCGTAGAAATTGCCAGCGCCCCACCGGCATCGGCCCCTGCATCATTCCATCTCTACGAGCTCACGCTCCAGCGGACGCCTTCCTCAGAGGTGCTCGCATGGCTACTCTCTACATCGGGAACCTCCCTCCGTATCTTGGAGTTACGAGACCTCCCAAGTCCCAACACGTACTTGGACTTGGCGACCTGCTGCCCGCATCTCCAATCCCTCCGGCTCATGCGATACAACTCCCACAGTGGCGCGATTTTGCGACAGTGCACCAATCTATTGGAGCTAGTATTATTAAACGTTCCAATGTTTACTGCCCTGCGCGAACTCCCTCTCACCCTGGAACATTTTGAAGTGGCGATTCAGACGTACACCGCGAGCGTCGATTTGGGGCTGGTGATTTCCGCGGTCAATTCCCTGCCGCGCTTGAGAATTCTCACTTTTATTGGAGATTCGGAGCAGATTCCCCTGCTTCAATCTACTTGTGATGCGAAACATGTAACCCTCCATGCCACTCCACGCAAGCTTTGGATTGTGAGTTTCTTCGATGGTTTGTCGGAATGAATTTACTCAAACTGTGCCTTAGAAGGACGATCCCATCAAGACGACGCGATTCCCTCGTCGACAATCGGTCTCTAATTTCTATCTTATGAACAGTAGAACTTAGCGTAGCAGCTGTACTCTACGCAGGACAGAATTCGTAGCGGTATTTATTTTATTTTCATGAATTAGAGCGCTCGAAGGATTTGGCAAACAAGGACACACGAAACTGAATTTTTGGTTTGACTGCAATGCTGTCTGCTTTACGCGCTGGTCGACGAATATCCACGCAATGCATGCGCCATTTCTCGGCGACGCCGACCGCATTGTTCGCGGACCCTGCAACTCCCCTCCAGGTTTCCGCTCCCGCCAACGTCCGACCCTCCTCGTATGCGCCCGCCGGCAGCAGCAGCTCAGCTCCTCCAGCGATAGCTGAGAGTGCTGAGGCAGCACCGTCAAGACCAGAAGTTGATCCCGCCTCTACCGCCTTCGTTCCGCCCTCTGCCCCCCAGTTATCACCCGACCACGGCTTGTATGGCTTTTTCCGGCGAAAAGAGAGTCCCTACCTCCGCGGCGACGACCAATACGAGACCTTCTCGGACCCGACTATTCAATACACGGGTCAGCTTTCCGCTACCCGTCGTGGGAGCACCTATTGATTCTACTGCAGGACGGGCATGGGCGGCGTCAGAGCTACGGTTAAAGAGCTTCAAGGACCTGCACACGCTCTGGTATGTGCTGTTACGCGAAGCAAACCTCCTTGCGACGCAGCGCGAGGAGATGAGGCGGATAGGGCTCCCGCGTCTCCGATTACCACCGAGCAACAGGGTGAATTCAGCCAAGGTCGGTCTCTTCCCTCGTCCCTGCGTATTTGCGCGCCAACGCGGCCTTGCAGGTGCGCAAGTCGATGGCGCGTATCAAGGCGGTGATGAACGAGCGCCGGCTCGCGTACGAGGGCGCGCTCGCGATTGTGGAGAAGGAGCGTGAGGGGCTGGTGGACACCGAGGTGCTGCAGGCCAAGATCAACTTGGAGACAACGGAATGGCACAGGCAGCATGCCGAGCAGATACGGAAGGGACTCGCCAAGCGGACGAAGCACAGGGCGGGGGCTAAGCGCCAGGAGAGGAAAGCCCAGCGAGAGGCGCATCCGCCAAAGGCGCCGGAACCTGCAGAGATAAAAGAAAAGAAACCGCGGTGGACGAAGACGCAGAAGGTGGCTCATATTGAACACAAGAAGCGGCAGGCGGCGGCGCAGCCTGGCGCTCCGAGTTACAAGACCAAGCGTCGGTTGAATGTAGCGTAACAGAAAATTAAACCATTCAATTTGACATACAATTATATCTACACTCAGTGCGGCTCTGTCCGTTTGTTTCGTTGTGCCTTCTCCCATTCGTGCATCTCTGCAGACACCCAGCAGTCCTTGACGGACGGGTCTTCATACATGCTCACTTGACGCGTCCCCGTGCGCAGGAGGTGCTCGATGACGCTAATGGCGCGCGGGGAGGCACTAGCAGCTTTTGTGCGGAAGGTATAGCGGATCATTAGGTCCCATTTGGCGCGCGTCGGTGGTGGTTTGGTACGCGGTATCCGCAGGGCTCTGAGTCTAGTTAAGTCAAGTCCCAAGTACGAAAACCTTGGCCTACCGTCTGTACAGATTCAGCACATCCTTTTGCAAGCCAGATCGTCGAACGGACATTTCTGCGCGTGAAGAGGGTGGGCGGAACGAGTTCAACGTCGAATTTGAGTGCAGAGGACAGCGATCATGTGATGACAAATAGCGCCACACAACTCAACGCCCGTCGCTCAAAATAGAAGGACACCTTCAATTACTCCCTGTGGGATCATTCTAAACAGAGCATAGCGTCGTGGATCGTCTGAAGCAGCGTTCAAGGTATCGTCAATTGTGGGCGTCTTCTGTGCCGAAAACTGAATCATAAGAAAAAAGAATCCTAGCGGGGCCGAGGGTGTGCTGCCCCCCATGTAAACAGGCAGTGAGCGCGGAGTGAGTAGACCGGGAATGGTATGGAACATGGAGATGAGGTACCGATCCGGCGGTTGGGATTGGAATGGGACTCTGACGACTCGGTCAGACGAGGCACCAGTTTGTATGGCGCGCTGGCAGTTGGTGAACTGAAGTGGGTGCAGGAAAACCTTTTCTAAGTCCGATTTTCGGCATGACTTAGTGCAAAATAAGGGAGATTGCACGGGTATTAGCGTTGAAAATAACAAAGATAAACCCAGAACAAAAAGAATGGACAAACTGGGAATTGAACCCAGCACCTCCCGCATTGCCGTCTTGGGTTGATTACGCAAGATCTGCGAAGCGGGCGCGATAACCAACTACACTATTTGCCCATTGAAAGCTGTCAGGCGTTCTAGAATACTCAGAATTATCTTTTTAAACCTCAGGAACAATCTGTTCCAAATTTTACGGTAAATCGTCTGAAACATCCTGAGTTTTGCTCCAAAACCCTCCAAAACTATCTAAGGTTGTAGCCCGGATCCTTAACTACCAGCTCAAATATGTACAGGATTATAGGATGAGAGGCCGCGCGGGGGGAAGACGTTCATTCCTCAACGTCGGCATCAAGGGAAAATGATGGGATCAATTTATTTGGTTACGCCGACTTACGCCTTGATTGCATAGGGATTTATTTGCCACAGACCGCGGCTCAATGGGACGTTAACGGGACGGGAAGCTCTGTGGTGCAGCTTGGCTGGAGAGGCTAGGAGGAGAGAATTCTTATTATTTTAATCGGTCCAAAATAAAATCAAAGGCAGAACGATCATGATGTTAGTCTGTCTCTCTAGGACAGACTCTAGTAAAATGAGCCGGTTCCTCACGTTATACGTATGCTCTGACACTCTTTCGACGATGTACCAACAGCCACGGAGAAGTAACTCGTTGAATATACACTATACGACAGTTTACGACGGCACAGTCTGCCCTCGATATGAACCTGCTACAGGTTTCCGAACTACCCATCGCAGTTGCCTCTCTGAACCGAATGGAATGGACCACAAGATATCATAAGGGAAGTCAGCAAAGCCCTGAATGACCAATACCCCCGCAACGGTTAGGTTCGCTTGAACTATGTTTCTTCACGCGGATAGTAGAAGGGCTTGAAGACAGCAGACACCAGGTTTAGATGCACAGAGCTTGCACGAACGAAGCCGGTCCACGTCTACGAACGCTCGAGAAGTCTTTTAGTGGAAGGACTTGAAGATGGTTTGGATGTGCACAGCAGAGGCCTTCCACAAAATGCTGGGACGCGTTGGAATGTAAAACTGAAAAAGGGCTGTCGTAGCTCAAAAGCACGTAGAAAATGCAGGACGTGTCACGTATGATTGTGTTGCTCCTCCATTTTATCTGCGCGCATTCGGCCATGAAATTGCGCCCAAAGCAGCGCTGCTGTCTGCGAAGATTCAACGCCGCAGTTGACGCTGTTTCTACATAAGAGTGGCGGAAAGCCGAGAGACGTCGGTGAAGGTCAGCCTCGGTGCGAGACCGGATGCTTCGTGAGTCGTGACGAAGTTGTTGACAGGCTGGCAGGGTCTCGAGCTCGAGCAGGAAGCAGAGTTCAGGACAGGCGTTCAAGTACGAGACCAAGACTCACTGTCGTCAGATGTAGGTTGCATTTCTATGTATGCGGGAGATGATGCGTGGCCGTAGAATGCGAGCATAGCGGGGGGAGCATGCGTAAGATTAGCAGCCGCTGTGGAGAGACTAGTAGGTCGGGGAAAGTAAAGTTCGGGTCAATGCTTGAATATACAGGGATGGCGCTCCCGGTAGTCGCCACTCAATCCAGCATTCTGGGATAGAGATATAGATTGTGAGGACTTGTGAATTTGTAACGTGAGCGAGGAGGGAGGTAGAGAGCAACACTCGGAGTAGCATGCACAGAGAGGTATGATGGGAGCTGGCTGAGTACCGAGTGCCCGGGCAAAGGTTCATCGCAAAGCATCATTGGTGCGGAGGATTTCATTCACGAAGGAGGTCTCTGCTGCGATGGACTTGAAGAGAGTAGCGGAGGAGTACACGACGTCTAGCGGTTGCGCTGAGCGCAAGATGATTCCGCCCTGCCAGGCCCTTGATCATCACGGTCACGAGCGTGACCCTTCTGTTTCCCGCCCCAATGTTCTCGCTTCGAACCGCGCGCCGATGCGCGTCTACCGTGTCGAGGATTCGGAAATACTCTACCGTGCCTGAAGCGCCAACTGACCCAGGGGAATACTGCCGCCAACTGGTGCGGAAGCACGACTACGAGTCGTTTCTGATCAGCAAGTTCTGGCCCCCCCATTTGCAAGATGGGTATTTTGCTATCAAGGCTTTCTCTGTGCGTTGCCTAGTCTGGTTTTCTACGTCGAATTCTTATTTACTCGAATAACAGAATGAGCTGGCAATGGTGCAAGACAATGTGAGCCTGCCGACGATTGGCGCGGTGCGGATGCAGTTTTGGCGGGACGCGGTGCGGGATATATACGATGTGCGGATGGAATGTTCCTTGGTTGATATTACGCTGACTGAAAGGCAGGACAGACCGCCGCGGCATCCCGTTGCGATTGCACTCCACCGGGCAACACAGACAGCTAGTCTGCCGCCGTACCACCTGAAACGGATCGTCGATGCGCGGGATGAGGAGCTGCAGACGACATCGTACCCTACGAGCGATGCGCTTGTGGCGCATGCAGAGAGCGTGTCTTCGAGCGTGCTGTACCTACTGCTTGCGTTGCGGGGGCTCAGTAGTGCGGAAGATCTTGCCCATGCAGCGTCGCATCTCGGGACAGCGCAGACGCTGGCGACGCTACTGTGGTCGTTACCCCACCATGTCGCGCAGCGGCGGCTGCCCATCCCGCTGGACATCTGTGCACGGCATGGTGTGAAGCAGGAGGAAGTGTTCCGAGAGGGCGGCGGTGCGGTGGGGATCGACGCGGCAGTATTCGATTTTGCGGTGCTCGCCAACGACCACCTGCTGACGGCGCGGGACGTGTTCAAAGGGGGGAAGGTACCTGGGGTTGCGGTGCCGGTGTTCCTGGCGGGGGTGCCTGTTGCGAGTTTTCTCGAGCAGCTTGAACGGGTGAACTTTGATGGGTTTGCACGGTCGCTGGCGATGCGAGATTGGCGGCTAACGTGGCAAATATGGAGTGGGTATTATCGACGAGTGTTCTAGCCCAATAAATCATTTATATATGGATACGAAACGAAGCAAATATTTGCGGGATGATGAAAATCGCCATTTTCAGCCGGTAACCGCCTGGCCCAATAAGGCAGTCGGCACTCGGGCCTGAGTTCTCTCTCTGTTCCCAACGGCCATGTCCACCCCAGAGGGCTTCCCCGTCTCCGTCGACTCGCCGAGGCAACCCGTGGACTTGCCGACGCAGGAGACACCAGAACGCCTTTCCACCCTCGAGGGCTTCCCAGACGAGGTTCTCCAGCTTATCTTCTACCACCTCGAACATCCCGCCGCCTTCGCCTGCGCCTCCCGCCGCCTCCACGCCTTCTCTCAGGACCCTTACGTCCGTGCGCACTACTTTCTCGCCCGCTACGGCTCTCTCGAGGCCCTTTACTTTGCCCTCGCCCGTGGAAAGCTTCTGACCCCTCGTGTCCTCGATGTATGCTTGGCTCATTCGTGTCGACTCGCTCGCGCTCACTCGCCCAGATCCTCCTCGCCAGCGGCGCTCATATCTCACGCTATTTGGTGCAAGTGGCATCTCATCACTACTTCCACGGCCAATCCCACTTCCTCAAGCCCTCTGCACCCTGGGTCCGCAAAGTGTCTCTCACCACCTTTTCCCACCTCCTCAATCTCGCCGCCGACAAGTATGGCGATATTCCCCGCGGAAAGGCGCGTGCACCGCTTCTGTTAACCATATAATAAAAACGAGAACTTTGATGCAGAATGAGGACGACGGCTCGCTCTTTGCCACCTTTATCAAAGAGTCCAAATTCCCTACCGAGTCGGGCGTGTCTTGGGAGACCATTCGTGATATCTTCGAAAAATACCATGTGCTTTTCTATTCTTGCATTTATTTAGCTACCGACTCATCGCCTGCAGTTCATGCCCTTTTGCCCCCGCGACCCACTCATGGCGCAATTCCCTCTGGCGCTTGCAATAGAACCCCGCTTGCTCCCGTACGCCGCCGCAAACGGCTTTCAGATGGATGCAAAGGTACGCCGTCTCCTTTGTGAGCCTACCACTCTCATAACATGTCCAGTACCGCGATTTTGTCTTCCGCAAGATGTTCGAGCACACGGCCGTCCCTGCCGCTGCTCGCACGGAAGAGATTGTCGCGAATGTGCGCGAGCTGTGTCGCCTTGATCCAGAGTGCGTGTTCCGACCGTGTGAATTAATTAATTAGATTTTTTACGCGCGCGCAGTATGTTTGTTACGCGTACCGTCGCGGCAGAAGTTTGCCTTGAGGCCAAGACAAATCAGGCCGCGTACGGCGCGTTGAAACAACTCGACCGCGCGGGGGACTTGCCCTTTACACTCCGGTATGTCGCTTTGGTCGTTGCTGATTTATTCGCTTACATTCGTTGCAGGGAACTTGTCCAAGATGTAATAAAGGTACATGAGATTTCAAGCGAATGGAACACGCGTCTAACCGCGTTGCACCAGCTGTACAGCAAGGCGCGCGCAATCACAACTTCGGCCACGACCCAAATTCTCACGCAACTGTATAACGATTTTCTCGTGCCGCCGCCCATCCCTGCCGCTTTGGCATACTCCCCGCGTGCCCATTCTGATTCGCGCGCGCTCATTGACCCGGGTGTGCGCCGTGCCATGCTGCTCACCGTTTTTGCTGCAGAACCGCCTCTCGGTGTGAGCGCCATGCCCGCGCGCCTCGCGCCGCTGCGGCTTGGTCCACTCAGCATCAAGGACGCGGCGGACGTGTTGCTTAGCGCGTTTGTTGAGAAGCACGCGCCGTTGATCGAGTACATGCGCCGCGAGGGCGTGGCGAGCGGAGAGAGCGCCGAGGGCACACGCAAGCCGACAGCAGCGGAGCTGCGCACGCTCGCGGAGGAGGTTGCGGTGCGCTGTTTAACGCGCGAGAGTAAGGGTCGGACGCTGAAGCGGTTGTGTGACGCGTATCCCACCGTTCGGGGCCGTATTATCCAGGCGGTGTTGGAAGATCATGAGGTCAAGATGGAGAGGCTGGGGGAGGTGGCGGAGGGGGTAGAGCCTTGGCGTGCGCAGCTGGCGCGGGGATCACTGGGAGGGATGGTGGTGTCTGAGATGGAGGGGAGCGACAGTGAATGGGATTTCGAGGAGGAGGAGGACAGCGATGAAGACGAAGACTCGGATGAGGACGATGAGGTGGACAGCGACAGTGAGATGTCGGACGGGAGCATG